AAGGAGGCAAAGAACCTCAAAGTCTGACTGCAATAATGGCCTTAGCCACAGCAGAAATTTTGAGGAGGGCACAGGCTCAGGCTGGGTTTTCTTCAGTTGAAATAGGCGTCACTATGTGTCAGACAGACTCAACAGTACTTAATAATGACACTGATCCGATGTTCTGAATATGCAGCATAAGCCATATGTGAAGCTGACGTAAAAATTAAACCATGTATTTGGATTTTTAAACTTTTTGCCAAAATATAAAAGTTTTTAGTAAAACTCAATTTAATGTTATTCTGTGGGCACCAAGAACCAAGCCGAAAAAAACCCGAAATCTGTGCAACTTGGTGTCTCCTCTCTAGCATTCACTTGATATCAATCACAGTTTATTCTAATCCTTGTCTTATCAGTAGTCTTCAGTTAGAATACTTTCCCCCTCACTCATTCAGCATCCTTATCTCGCTCTGAGTCAGACCTCTCCTGTGGCTGGTATGTCCTTCTCCCTGAGCTCCAGGACTTCGGGCCAACTTGGCTGTTAAATTTCTCTTTGCTAGTCACTCCTCCCAGATTCCTCCACTTCTCTCCATTCTGACCAAAGGCAGAGTAAATAACTTTATTTTACCTTTATAATCTTATTACCACTTAGGAACATCCTGTAACTTTCCTAAAAATCGTTCTTAAAATTGCTTTCACAAAGACTGTATACATTTTCACCTCTGGCTAAACCCTTCCCTGGAAGAGATTCATTTTGAAAAATGCAACTTGGAAAAACAACCAAGTCACAACTTCTTTGTTGATGTGTTCACTGCTCTAGAAAGCATGGGCCTGTTCACTGTGGCCTAAGGGAGGAGGGTCATGCAAATATAGAAAGATAAGGGCAAAGTGTTGTTTTCTCAAAACCTTTAGCTCATCAGCTAAGTTGGAGAAGTAAAAAGAACAGTGTACAGAGAAGCACAAAGATGTGATTAAAGCTAGAAACTATAAAGGTGTGAGTTTGAGCGTTTGGGGTTTTTTTCTTCTTTCCTTTCATTGACAAGGACAAAGGAATGTGCATTGATAGGAAAATCTAGTCTGGGGCTAATGAACTTATACTTCCCTAACCACATCACCCACCCTCATCTCTGCTGTGAGGTAGCTGAAGAGAAAAGGGGGGAGGGTAGAGAAGGTGAAGGTTAGCGAAAATCTGAAGGTGTGGAGATGAAGGAGGTCGAGATGAGAGGGAACAAACAAAGCAAGTAACGAGAGGAAGGGGTGAAGGAAGAGAGGAGAAAGAGAGCATGCGTGGCCTCACCTAAAACCCACCACATGCCTCCAATTAAAGCTTTGAAAATAAGACCATGCAGGAAGCACTTTAAAAACCCACAAACTTTTCTTCAACACAGGGGCAAATGAGGAAAGAAAAGAAGCTAAGAACAAGAGGCATGAAAGACAGAGGAGAGAGGAGGGCCAAACCTCCCCTCCTATCGTCTGTCTGAGGCGCTGAAAGCTCTTTATAGAGTGTGAAGTTGCAGCGGAATCCAAATTCCTGGCATTAGAAAGAGTGCCAGAGGCTGCTTATGAAGGAAAAAGAAAAATCTTCTCCTTTTTCCTCTACAGTGAAGCAAATATTGTGTTTTCATTTTAGGTCTTCACCATCCTAAACATCCTAGATCCTTCTTTCATTCATCTACTGGAAGATCACAGTGTGTGGAAGAGATGAGGAACTCTTACAGATGGGCATGAAACAAAGACTGCTACCCAACTCACTGACAGAGTGGGAATAGATGTATAGCTGTCCCTTCAGTGGGTTTTCCGGAGGCTGTGAATCACGAGAGAAGATTGGTCATTGGGATCCAACTGCCAGAGAGGCACCATCTTTGAGCTCCAAGTACAACTTCCTATGGAGACTGTTGTTGTTGTTGTGTACCATTGAGTCAGAATGCACTCACAGCTGACCCTCCAGTGGATTTTCAGAGACAGTTAATCACACAAGAGAGACTGCCCATCCTGCTCCTGCAGGTGGTCTCGAATCTGGTGCCTTTGGGATTGAAGCGCAGCTTCTTGCCACTAGGCCACCAGAGCTCCCTATGGAGACTGTTAGAAATGTTTATTTCAGGACTCAAACACCCCCACAGCCCTCCTCTTCTCTATCCTACAGGTATGTGCAGAGTGCCTCAGTGAGATGGTGATTGTTTTTATGTGACAAAACCAACTCAGAGCTGACCCTCCGGTGGGTTTTCAGAGCCTGTAAATCACAAGGGAGGAGACGGCTTCTCTTCTCACAAGGCGTAGCTGGTGGATTCACCTGTGTGCCCCAGGGTTGGCAATACAACTTCTTACCACAAGACCACCAGAGCATTTGAGAAGTGATGTGATGTGTATTTCTTCCAGCAGGAGAGCAGAGAGGCATATTTAATAAATGAATGGTATATTTCATAAAAAGCATGATCGACAATCTGCCTGAAGAAAATACAGCTAGACTCATACCTCACCTCACTTACAAAAATAACACCCAAATGGATTTAAAAGTAATGAAAGAAAAGAAAATGAATATTTGAGTTCTTTTAAGATCAGGGAGGCCATTCTAAATAAGAAAGTAGGCATTTTTTTAAAGATATCTCTGACTAGCTGAACATTTCAAAGTCCTGTGTTAATAAATACTAAAAATAGCTGGTGTCAAGTGCCACCGAGTCAGCCACTAACTTTCTGGAATACTCTCAACCCTGATCCAAACCCATAATCAGTTACAGATCAGAGTGTTGGGATCCAGAAGCTTTTTATGGCTGATTTGGGGGGCAGATGTCCAGTCCTTTCTTCCTAGTCCATCTTAGTCTGGAACTTTTGTTAAATTTTTTCAGCATTGAAGCAACAGCTCAAGTCATCCCTAATAAAAGGGTAGTGGTCATGCATGCGGTACCCTAACCAGGAATTAAATTCAGGTCTCTCACATGAGAGGTAAAAATTCTAGCAAGAAATCTCCACTGCAAAGAGATGGTCTCTAACTGGTTGGTTTGATAATTTGTGAGGTTAACTGAGCTCACCAAATGCAGGCTTTTGTAACTAAAGATTGTACCATTGGATATGATGTGAAGACACTGTAGATATCACACCATAATCAGGTTCTAGAAACGTGCTCCATACTTCTCTGCATAGAGCCTCAATTTGACCTCAGTCTGGTCCACAGTCCTTATCCATTTGCTGTCTTTCATGACTGGCTCTTCTAATATGAAGAAGGTTGACTGGAAACAACCTTCCAAGGGCTCACAGCACAATCAGCATGGTCACAATGGTCACAAATTAGTTGTGTGATTATGAAGAAGAAAGTGAGAAATAATTGCACTGTAAGCCAGAAGTACTAGTTATGATATTATACCATTGCATTTTTCTACTGTAAATACATTTATTGATTTTTAGAAAGCATATAAACATTTTATCAAAATATCCTCCATAAGAAAAACAAAAGGACAAGCAATAATGGAAAAAACAATCACCTGGGAGAGATTTCTGACTCATCCTCTCCATTTCAGAAGTGAGAGAGAAATGAGAGGCACAGTAACGCAGCCTTGAGAAAGGAATTTCTTCTTCAAGTTTTCCAATGTCTTTTTAATCAAATGGCATCAACTGCTAAAAGCATTCTGACCTTGGTTATGCTACATAATACTGATACAAAATGTGAATAGTACAAAGTTCATTATATATAAGATTTTAATATATTACATTTGTTTCTACATAAACAGACTATAAATAGATGTGCCATAGCATGATTTATAGTCATTTCTCCAGCGTCTCACACTATGGTACCAAACAAAACAAAACAAAAGTACAGTTTCTTTTTTAAAAAAGGAAAGAACAAGAGCAAGAACCAGAAGAGAAAGCTTTACATGTTAAAAGACTATATAACATAAGAGACATTGTTAGAACTTGGGCTATAAAATATTTTTTAAATCTGGCTAATAATCGTTCAGAGAGCAAACAAACCAAATGAGATTTTGCTGGAGTGCTGAGACTCAAAGCCTAAAAAACTGACAGGTAGGCGTTGAGGAGAAGGAACAAAAGTCAAGAATCCTTCCTGAAGCTTGGACACGTCAGCTTGACACCAAACATACTTCATTCAGTCTCAGACTATCACAACATCACAGCTAGGAGAGGTGCTCATCCCGAAGACACCAGAGGCTGGTTAGTAGAGGCAGAACTCTCCAACCTGACAGGGAGTCTCAGTCCAAACGTCCTTTCTTTGTGGGGCTCTGAATAAAGGATCAGCCTGGGAGACAAGAAGCCGGGGCTGCATCATTTCCTTCCTGGGGCTTAGCCAGGAGACAAGTAAAGCTCCGGAAGGAACCCTCATTAGGAGTCGGAAACAGCACAAGGAACTCTCATTTAGCCCAACTGGGAAGAGCACGCAACCTTGTAAAAATCAGTAACCTTGTCTAAAATCTTTGCATTTCCTCACAGATCACATGTCCACCTCCACCAGGGTCAATACAATGCATCTTGCAGGCCCCAGCACTCTCTCAAAAAAGGCTAACATTTCCTTTTTTATCTCTTCAAATCCTACTTGGCTCAGAACCCAAGTCCTTCCTATACAAAGCTGATAGATGCACTCAGCTCTAAAGATACCTCCCATCTTCAACATCTGAAGCACCTGCATTACCTGGTTTACCATCTTGTTTTATATAGGTGTCAACTCCCCAGGTAGACTGCTACTTCTCTGAGGATGGAGGCGATTCTTGGACTTTCTTTATAGTCAATGGTGAGACCCACACTTGAGGCATCACAGAAACTTTTTTAAATGAATGGGGGTAGGGGAAGAGAGAGAGACTAAGTTCAACACTGGGAAAAGACAGATAAACATTCTTGGGTCACAAATATCTTCTCAGGAAATGCTAGGGGGCTGGCTCCCTGCAGTCTGAGGTCCTCTTTCTGAAATGAAAATCAAATGTGGCAACTTCCTGGTGATGGAAAGAACAACACTTGAAAATCCAAGCAGCACCTCTCATGTGATTTCCAGTAAGTGGGAGGGATGTAAGTGCTTCTCTTTAAAGACAAGGAGAGCTCGAAGTGGTCCCAGGATCAGACTGGAGAATCTGGGCTTGTGGTTCAATCTCCATCAGCTTTAAAAGTTCTGCCTCCTCACTGGAGTACACAGCGGTATCTGTGTCATCGGAATGATACCCAGACTGGTAGCCACTCGTCTGGTTTGAGCCTTCAGATGCCACAGACTCCTTGCTTTTGCTGGGCATTAGCCCACTGTGGAAGAAAATACAGCCAAATGAGCTGAACGAAAGAAGGCAATCATTTACTACTAACTGCAACCCCATTCCCACCTCCAAAACACCAAACCAAATTGATTGCCATTGAGTCAATTTTGAAACACAGTGAACTCATGTACGTTCAGAGTAAAAGCTACAAGCTACAGGATTTTTAAAGCTGTGACCTTTTGAAAGCAGATCACCAGGCCTTTTATTTAAGGTACCTTTGGGTGGTTTCAAACAACAAACCTTTCACGTAGTAGTCAAGTGCTGAACAGCCCTTGCCACCCACGCTCCAGGCACTCCCTTCTCCACTCGGCAGCTGAAATCTGCCTGGAGACACCAGGCCCCTGACCCTCTCAGCAGTTAATCAACAGATCAGGTTTATTTGGACAATGCTTATTTGCAGGTACCAGCATGAATTAGTAGTTGGAGATAAGTCCTCTTATTCAGGTCTGAGTCTTTCAAACTTCAGAGAAGATGAAAGCCAGTTCCCTCAGCTTTGCAAGGACTCCAACCAACAGAGCATTTTATGGTGCTAGCGACTGACAAACTTGTATACAAGGATCTGGAGCCAAGGAGACTCCTTCCATAATATTGAAAGGAGACTGGGATGTTCAGACAGCTCACTCTTGCTCTCCCCATATGGCCAATTAGGAGATTACAAGGCATGTGTATGGTGTTAATAAAGTTATTGGGCAACTTTAAACTTTGGTAACTTGAAGCTTGTGTGCAATCAAGCCAGCCATGTCAAAAACTGCTTTCAAGCCCACATTCTTTGGAAGGACCAAGGATCCAGATCATTCAGCAGCAACTGGGAAATGTTTTCAATGGTGTGGGATTCTGACAGATGGCAACCATGTCAAAGCTTAGAAATGTAGGCTGTGTTCATTTAAAACCCCAAGATTTATACCTTCTCAAGTAATTTAGATGGGTTCTTTTGGTTTCCTTTTACCCTAATTGCTTGTGTTAAAACTTACAGAAAACATTTTAACTCTGTGTTTATATATATATATATGGATTTAAACATTTTTTTAAATAAGAAATGCACATATTTGTGTATGAGTGTACATGTATATTATTTTAAATAAGTAGAAATGCAATTTTTCTTTCATGCCAACCCCTAAATAAAACTAGTTTAGTATCTCCAGTAATAGTATTAGCCAAGCACATAGTGGTGGTGCTGTGTGCCATTGAGTCAGAACCAACTCACAGCTGATCCTCCAGCAGGTTTTTAGAGGCAGTAAATCCATGGATGGAAACAACCCATCCTTCTCCTGTGGAGCAGCTGGTGGATTCAAACTGCACGGCTCTGGGATGTCAGCACAGTTTCTTACCACTAGACCACCAGAGCTCTATAAATATTTTTCAATCCATGAATAAAAGCAAATGAGTAGCTGTCACAACTTCTTCTCTTAGCTCTTAAGACAAACACTCCATTAACACAGTAGCACATTTTATGTTTTCCTTCTCATAACCATCCAACAATTATCCATGAGTGTCCCTATTTTATATAGCAGATTATAAATTAGTAGATAAAAATCTTTTCTTTACTCTCACCTACAGGGAACCCTCTACAGGAATACCTCTTCTATATACTATGACTTTTAGAAAAACAGATTTCTATCTGTTTCATTTGCTCTATGTAAGTATATTCATTTAAAGCAACTATTAATTTCTCAGAAGAAGCCTGGACAATCTCCTCCTGTGTAATTAACTGTCTTTGAAAACCCACCGCAGGGTCAGCTATGGGTTGGTTCTGACTCGATGGTACACAACAACAATATTAATTTCTACTAAACCAATCAGAAGACATGATAATCTAAATAAAATAGAATACTTTCCTCACAGTTAGATATGAAATAATATAGCCAATTTTATGTGGGTATCTTAAACAAACAGACATTGCCTTATTTATACATATTAATTCCTAAGTACAGATGCACCAAATTATGTACAGATTTTTAAATTGTTCAGTGTCCACACTGGTGGATTCGAACCAGCAGGGAGATACAGCCTTTGGGTTCAGAGCTTACTTCTCTATGGACTACACCATCAGCGCAGCCTGAATAAAGAGCAGTCACATCTTTAGTGATTGTACCTAATGACCTCTTTGTAGCAAGCCATATAAACTATCGCTTTAGAAATGCCCTAGAATTCATTTTGTGCTCATAACAACTGATCAAATTCACTAACATACTTCACATTCTCTTTTCAAACTTGCTGCTTAGTTTTTTGGGTGTGTGTGTGTGTGTGTGTGTGTGTGTGTGTGTGTGTGTGGTTTTGTTTGTTTTTTGCTTGGTTTCTTTCCATTTTCAAAAAGTTAGGTTGATGCTAATTGTTCCTGCTCACAAAGACACCAAAACAGAAGACCTCATCTATATCAAAAACTCTAAATTCCTTCCCAAAATGCCTTCTGGAATTTGTCTTTTCCACCTGGCTGAGGCTTACCTAAACGACGGAGCTAATTTGGTTCTGTCTTCCAATGCTTTCAGCTCTTCGGACGCAAGAACCATACCACTGTCGGTCTGATTGTCCTTTGAAAGAGACAATTAAATGGTATAGATGATTGCACGTGGATACTAAGCAACTATTTCATCAAGCTGATTTCTTAACAAATCTTTGAGATACATGCTCATATATCCTATTAATGTTGTTTTTGTGTGCTGTTAATTCTGCCTTCACAACAGCTGACCCAGCATGACAGACTACAAATTCCTAGAGAGAAAATCCCTAAGCTGAAATCTAGATAGAAATAGCCAGCCAGATCTTTTTATCTCCCTTGGAGCCAAAGATGGGGTCAAACCATCAACCTTTTGATAAATAGCTGAGCACTTAACCACTCTGCTACCAGGGCTCCATAAATGTCCTGCAAGCTGGGGTTGGGAGGGGGCTACAAAAAGAAGGAATCATCTCCTAGAAGCAGATAGAAGCCTGGAGCAAGAGAAGAACTTTGGAAGAAGGTTCTGGAAGCAGATTTCCATCTGCTTTTGACAATGATACTATTTGCTCTTGAGTGAAGTTATGGATAAAGTCAAACTATCGTGGGCCAGGGTCTTTATGGATGGTAAAACCAAGGAGACTTGATTAATTCCATCTCCCACATGACCCCGTAGCACAAACCCTCAAGAATAGCCTTATAATGAAGCTCTAAGACCCTAATACTTAGGCTAATATTTATTGAGCTAATGTTTCATCCTTTGTATTATTTCTAAGACTATTTTTAAAAGCTGTACTTACATCTGGGATTACTTTGACTTCTGGTTCTTCCAAGGGGATATCTTCAAATGTTTTTACACTCACAGGCCGGCTCTTGCGCTTACTGTTCTGTAGATACTGACTGCAAAAGGAGAAATATTTAGATTTTCGTGGTGGTATATTTGGCAGCAGATATCACAAGCGATACCTAAGTTCATTATCTTCCAACCACAAGTTTAATAGTGACCTTCAAAACATCCTTTGGAAAAAGCAAAACAAAGCAAAACAAATTCTTTCTCTGCTAGCCCACATCGGAGGCTTCACTTCCTGCAAAAGTCCATTTAAAAGTATAACTGAGGGACCTGGAACAATCCCTGCTCCTTGGGATCATACTTCTGAGGTCCAGGGCTGGACTAGGGACAACAACAGCAGACTGGTCTGCCTTTACTCAGCTTTCTGATATTACACATGATTTCTTCCACTGAGCTATGGGCATATGACCGGCTGTTCCACATCTTCCTCGCCAGTCCCTGGAAAAGATTTTCAGATTGTGCTAAAGGCAAGCATTCAAGAGACGGACAAACAGCTGAGGGTCTCACTGAAGCAAGGTGAACCCAGCAAGGTTCTCAAGGTGACCTCTTCCTTCAATGTTCCCTACTGTTTCTGTGCACAGCAGAGCTGAATGAGCTCGGTGTTACCAGCTTCTCTGTTACGATGGTGGCATAGAAAGGTGGCACCTCTATGGCAGTTCAAATCCAGCTGTGTCTCCTTGGAAGACAGACCAACTTCTCCTGTGCCATTTACAGCCTTGGAAATACCAGAAGGTCAAGCTATGAGTGAGCTCTGACTTGATAGCAATGATTTTGAGAGGTTTATTTTGCTTGAGTTTGTTTTAAATATGATCAGGAAAGAAGCTCTGGTAACACACTGTACTGCATGACAGGCTGCTAACTGAAAAGTTAGTGGTTCAAATCCACCAGCCACTCTTTGAGAGAAAGATGGCCCAGCTCTTTCTGTAAAGATTTACAGCCTCAGAAACCTGATGAAGGGTCACTGTGAATCAGAATCAACTCAGAGGCAGTGGGGCTACATTTTTGTTAGATTGTCAAGAGGTACCAGTGCCTGGAGAGATAAATCTCACTGAGGATCAGCAGAAATGAGGAAGACCCTCAACGGGATGGATTGACCCAGGGGCTGCAATGATGGATTCAAGCACAGCACCCCGTGTGAGGACGGCACAGGACTGGGGACTGTTTTCCTTTGTCGTACCCAAGGTCACTTTCAGTCAGACCTAACTTGGTGGCGCCTAACCAAACACAACAGGATATTCTGACCACAGAGGTGTCAGTGTCAGGAAAAGGCATACCCTTCACCGTTAACAAAATGCATTCACAGACATGATTGTATCTATTCTTTCTGAGACTACAAAATAAATTCTTTCTTACTTAGAGAGGAGGAGGCTGGGGCCTGAAAAAGTAGCAGCCAGTAATGGGTAGAAAAAGGACTCGAGCTTTGCTCTGCAAGACTCCCAGGTTTCCCCCCTTTTATTTTGCACTGCCTCCCTTAGGAAATGGTCAGGAAGGAAAAGGAGGAAGAGAACAGCATACACAATTGTTTAAGTCTTTTTTTTTATTAAGCACTTAGTATGAGCATGTTTCATGGGTGACACACAACCTGTGCACTCAACCTCCTGATCTAAAGGTCAGCAGTTCCAACCCACCTGGTGGCACTGAGAAAGAAAAGCCTGGTAGTCTGCTTCCATCAAGATCAAAGCCAAGAAAACGCTACGTAGCAGTTCCACAGGTGGCGCCCAAGAATGGGAATGGCCTTGACAGCAGCATGCATTTGGTCTTTCTTTTATTTGTGCAAAGTGCTGTTCCATCAGCCATGTGACCACTGAAAAGCGCAGGGCAGGAAGGGTAAGACATGAAAACAAAAGATACAGTTTCATCTAGAGCAGTCTCCAGTGGTCAAGAAATCACAAGATGTGTTGCACTGGGAAAACCTTCCATCAAGGACCTCTCAACAGTTCCAAAGAACAAGGATGTCAGTTTAAAGATTAAGGTGTACTTGGTCCAAACCATGGTCTTTCCAATTAACTTCTTAAAAGTTGGACCATGACTAAGGATGACAGAAGAACTGGTGCCTTTTAACTGTGGTGTTGGAAAAGAGTACTGAACAGCCCATGGACTCCCAAGAGAACAAAGATGTCTTAGAAAAAGTGCAACCAGGGTGCTTCTTAGAGGCAAGGATGATGTGCATGTTATGGGAAGGAGCCAATTTCTGGGTGATGGCAAAGCTGGAGGGTCAGAGAAAGAGAGGAAGACCTTCAACAAAATGGATTGATGAAATAACTGTAATCACGGGGCTAGGGTGAGGTATCACAGTGCAGAACAGGGTGAGGTTCAGATCTGGTTCAAGGGTCACTGTGGATCACAGTAGACTGTATGGCACCTAATAACAATGTTGGGGCTTGATCTGGGAGCCACACCGCCGGAAGGCAGTCATAGGTCCTGATCTACACTGCCTGTTTAACCACCACTGAAAAATTAGTCAAAATGAAGAAAATGGTTTGTACCAAAATCTTTTTTTCTGGGAGAGGAAAAGAGATCTCCGATAAGCTGCTTGGTGTGGGAGGTGTGACTCCCAAGGGGGATGTGATGGCGTAACCACAGATGGTCACCAAAAAGCCTTCAAAGAAGCGTGCAGTCAATGAATATCTGTTCTCAGTCGGAGGCCTGAAAAGTTGGGGCCAGCAGTGATCGCCCCCAAGGAAAATGAGAGACAAAACTATGTCTAGACACTCGTGGTCCTTTTCTTCTGGCCCTTTCCTCTCACACCCCCTCAGCCTTTTCTCTAAACTCTGAAGAAATATTCGTTAATAGTTGAAAGGAGCAACAAATCGTGACACTGCCACCCACAGAGACGCCTCTGTCCAGCTCTTTCTAAAATGCAAGGGATGAAGTAAGTGAGAACGGCTGCTCAGCTTTACTTCTGGGCTGGGGATGTGATAGGGGAAAGAACAAGGCTTCCCTCACCCCAAGCTCCAGGGGTACCTCAGTCTCATCTCTGTCTCCTCGGGGAGGCCGAGGCACAAAGAAGCATTCACGTGAAGTCAAGGAAAGTGCAGGTGCTTCCATTCTGTCTTGGCTTAAACCCAGATGATTCAAATGTGACCGTGGCATCTTATTTTGATAAAAGGAAAAAAAGGCAGAGGCTTCGAGGGGATGCAGACAAAAGATTCCCACTTCCAGTTTCTTTTTCATATTAGGTCTGGATTAAAGAGAAACCAGACTGGAAGGGCCAATTCAGAAATCGCAGACAGAAAATCGGAGCCAGGCCTGGTGTCACATTTGTCCGCGCTTCTGGGGATAAATGTTAGCAGCCCCTTTTTTAGCTCCAGCACCGCTTTTGGCACTTCCACTACACAGAGATGACTTCATCTTCTTCTCAGCACCATATGCAAAGTGCCCCAGTCAGCCAAGAGGCTGCCAGGGGAATCTCTGTTCCACTCGGTCACGGGAAAAGACAGACCGGGGAGTCAAGTTCATGACCAAATGGCTTTCCTGAGAGGGAGAAGGTGAGAGAGTCGCAGGGGCAATTACACCTTGGAAAGCTAGCTGATCTTGAATTTGCAAATGTGGGACTGACTGGACTCTATTACTGCTATACTCCTCTCCCAGGGTCACTTGTCGGAATGGGAGAAGACAGAACCACTGAGTCAGGGAGCAACTGGGTTCATCTCAATTCTGTCATTTTAAATGCATCACTTTATTGTTACTGTTAGATGCTGACGTTGTTAGGTACCTACAACTTGTAACAGCCCCGTGAACAACATGCTCTGAGCCTTGTCCTATCCTGCACCATCCTCTTAGCCCATCCTGACAGGCACTGTGCCAATCCATCATTGTTAGGGTCTTCTTGTTCTCTGACTCTCCACCTTCATCCACACAATGTCTTTTTCTAAAAACTGGCTGCTCCTGACAAGACACCCACAATACGTAAGAAAAAGTTTCACCACCCTTGCCTGGAAGGAACACCCTGGTTGCACATCCCCCTCAAGACAGATGCATCTGTTCTTTTGGTTGTGGTTATTTATTTAGTTCTCCAACACCACAGCTGGTAGACAGCCCATTTCGGCTCAGACTGGCAGAGGAGAACTGTGCCCTCATTTTCTTGTATGCAATTTTTACAGGAACAGATCACCAGGTCTTTTCTCCTCAGAGTGACTGAATGAATACATTTCACATCGTCAACATTTCCATTAAAAGTAGGGTGCTGAAGTATCGTGCCACAAGGCTGCTTAGATCACTTAATAATCATCATTTATGGAGGACTTCCCGAGTACCTGGCACTTAAACCACACAATAGCATGTAATCCTCAAAACAAGCATTTATGAACACCAGGAAACTATGAGCAGAGGTTAGATGGTTTGCCCAAGGTCACGCAGCTGCTAAGAGCCACCCCAGGAGCCCAGTTGCTTCTGATACACAAATCATGATATTGTCCCACTTCCACTTCATCTCTCTGTGCCTCATGGTCAACATCACATTAACAGAAAGGAACTGTTCAAAACAACTATGAGATATCATCTCACCCCAGTCAGAATAGCAAAATTGAACAGAACAACAAGCAACAAATGCTGGCGCGGCTGTGGAGAAACTGGAACCCTTATTCACTGTTGGTGGGAGTGTAAAATGGTGCAACCATGTGGAAGGCGGTGTGGTGCTTTCTCAGAAAGTTGCAAATAGAGATACCATTTGACCCAGCAATTCCACTACTGGGAATATACCCCAAAGAGACAATAACTGATACCCAAGCAGATATATGCACACCCATGTTTATGGCGGCTTTGTTCACAATAGCAAGGAGTTGGAAACAACCTAAGTGCCCATCAACAAATGAATGG